TACCACTTCTTTTCTCTCAGAAGACAAAAAAAAGAAAAGGGTTGTTATAATATCATTGAAGTGTGCCCCTCCTTCCTCAGCCGCCTAATTCCGACCCACGACCCACTGGAGTCTACACGAACAAATTTGTACACAACCGTTTTAAGCACAGCACTGGAGTAAAAGAAGGATACCTTTGATACATCCAAGTGGCTTGCAGGGTCACAATTTTCTGGCCAGGTCCCATTGAAGTAATATGGTTGAAATCCAGTAATTATGAAGTCTCTTGCAGGTTTTGGTGTTTTTTTGAGACAACATCCTTCTTTTGTAGCACACTGAGAACCTGGCCACTGCATTTTACATGCAGAGAAACATGATGAATGTCTAATTCTTCTTTAATTAATCATCTCCAGAAAGCAAACTAAAAACAGATAAAACAATCACCACAATTTTCTAAAATCGATCAATCCCAGCTCCCTGCACATTCTCGACATTTAATGGTTTGGTTGCTTTCTTAAAATGCAGAGCTTAATGTGTGACATGCATGCTTACCTTCAGGTAAACGTAGAAGAAATCTGGCGGATTATCGGCACTTGAGATTGTTGAAGGCAAAGATGCATGGACTAAAAGCATGATGAAAGCTGATAGCATGATTTTCACAGTTTTCTCCATCTTCTGTTTGGAGTTATGAGCAATCGCCTTGGAGAAGGGGCGTGCTACTTAAAATGATCATCGGCACCCGAGTTGATGATTGAGCACTCACAGTAAAATTAAGTAAAGTTACTCTACCAAGTTGGCAACTTGTATTTTTTAACTCTACCCAATTGGCCACTTTGGTTTTCTTTTGCCTTTTTGGTCCTTCTGTCTTCGATTCTTCATCATTAGATAGGTCCTCTAGAGAATTCAAATCTGCGTTCAGATTGCTTTTATATGTCCAAGAAAAATGATATCATGTCTGACATCCACCCTATCTTCTTAAGTTAATTTTTCCTTTTATGATACAGGTTTTTTTGGAGCCATTCCTCTAAATATATCTCAAGTTTGATTTCCTGAACTGTATTTGTCCTCTTGTTCTATTTAAATTGGCATTGTTATAGGCACCACACTTTAGTTTTTTTCTTCAAGATGGACAAAAATTAAAAGAACTCATGTAAAAACAAAAAATAATAATAGTTTACATTGACAGTCAATAACTAAAAATATATACCTACCTACTAATTTCAAGATTTTTCTAACCTCCTCCAGCAGTGCTATTCTAAAATAACTAGCTAAGTTTATGCGACAGTTACTGGAGAATGCTCTTGTGCCCTCTGTCAAGGTAAAAAACAAAAAGTTGAGAGCCATATTTGTTGACTGTGTTAATATAGCAAGATCACCTCTCTTGTCTTTGACCCTGTAGCAGTGAATGCTTTTTAAGCAAATGAATTTGAAGAAGGCAAAAGCAGAAATATAATCCAATGTCACTGTATTTGTGGATGTGGCTTGAAGACTAGTTCAAAGACAAGAATAGTAACTTCCGGGTCAAACTTACAGAAATGCTGCAATATGATGACATCCTGCAAACTACTGCTAATTCTTTTTTGAACAGTTGTGGTACTAATCAACTTCTTTTTTTTCAGAAATTGAAATAAACTCACACACACTTAATTAGACTAAGCACGAGAGTTAACAGTTAAATCGGTCCGAAAATAATCTAAAAAGAGATTCACAAAAAACATCCATCCAATCAATTGGTGACAGGAAGGTGCTCCAGGGTGGTACTAATCAACTTCTTGGGAGCGCAGATCAAAGATTGCTCCAACTCCAAGGAGTTGTCACATGGACAAGATTGAATATGTCTCAGATCAAGGTCAAGATTGAATATTTTAGTGGGCAAGATCGAATACTTCAGATTCTTACTACAGGATCGAGGGATAAGTTATACTACCATATTTCGTTGATCTACATTTTTTGTCTTCACAACACTTTGTCCTCTTACTTTTTTTACGGCCGTTTGAACTGCTATTTTTTAGAGCTTTTATAAAAAAATGTACTGTAACGATTTGATGTATGTAAGATGAAAAAATAATTAAAAAAAATCTTTACAAAAAACGTAAAAAAAAATTTTTTGAAGAAAGAGCAATCCAAATCAATACTTTCTAGATTAGAACACATTTTTCTCGTGTGTGTTTTTTAACAGTTGTGGTCCTAATCGACGAGCAGATCAAGATTGATCGGACTCGGGGCAGGGACGGCTGCAAGCCGTCCCTGCCAATTTTAGCTCATTTCAACTGCGCGTAACATTGGTTCAACTGCGCGTAACTTTTTTTTCACAGGATGTATTTTCACAACAGATAGTGGTGGGCCCCACACTTGGCGCGGATTTCGAGTTACATGGTGTTATTTCAGCCGCACAAAATTTTGAGGGCCAATTTTCAGCCGCACAAATTTTTAACCGTGCCCCAAATCCAGATTGATCTTAGGAGTTGTCACATGGACAAGATTGAACATGTCTCAAATCAAGATTGAATATTATAGTGGACAAGATCGAATATTTCAGATCCTTGAAATATTTTGCTCCCCAGCATGATATTTTATATAACTCACCATGTATAGGACTACTCCCAATCAAATAGTATCATTCCTAACCGGACTTTATAGGTTAAATACTACTATCATCCATCACTGGAATTTATTACTAAATTAAATTAAATGATTTTCGTGCCATTAACATTTTTGTGCCAAAATTATATGAAAAGCTTAAACAATATTTACTCTCTTTTTTTTTGTGTTAAACATTTACTTATTTAACAATCAGCTTTGAAATCGTCCGGGCATACTTCTTGTATCAATTTTGAATTAATAAGTCCGAAAATCACTAAGGTTTGTATTGTATTCTCAACTTATCCGAGAATAGGATGAAAATGGTTGCTTGATGAACTTGATCATGGATTAAGAATATCTTCTGAACAGATCCCATATTTTTAGCCATTCAGTTCCTGGTAGAGGTCATCTATCCCAATAATCACATATACTAATAATAAAATTAAGGGACTAAATAAGTGCAATCGAAACTTTAGGGACTAAAACTAGATTGAGTGGGAACTTTGGCGTCCAATAGAGTAATTAACGATTATAAAACCTCTTTCACCATTTAAACTTCTAACGTACTTACCCATCTATCAAATCTTAACCACTCTATCAAATTTTTAAATAATTCTCAGTAAAAAGAATAAAAACAAAGGGAAGAAGCTTAGTGGCATATGATCATGAACATGATTTTTTGTATTTAAATAACGAAAATAGAGCTCTTGAATCAGTACTTCCAATTTCCTTTCACACTATATGGACATGATGACTTTTCAATTATTCCCTGATTTGGTTTCTTGAGAATAAAAACAAAGGGAAGAAGCTTAGTGGCATATGATCATGAACATGATTTTTTGTATTTAAATAGCGAAAATAGAGCTCTTGAATCAGTACTTCCAATTTCCTTTCACACTATATGGACATGATGACTTTTCAATTATTCCCTGATTTGGTTTCTTACATATCAACCATACCAAACTACTACACGTAGCAATAAAAAAAAAAGAGGTTTCTAACAATTTCACTGACCTCTCTTAAGGTTTAAAAAATTATACTAACCTCTCTTGAAGTTTATGATTTGATAACAAAATCAGTCTATCTCTAAAAAAGTATGATTAAAAAATTACTTTTAGGAGAGAGATGAAAATTTTGTTCTGCAAATGCCCTATGCATTCCAGTCAAGTGTATTAGCAAAAATAATTATCAGTCAAAGTGTATTGCAGTTATGATTATCTCAAAAAATTTCATAATTTTCAACTAAAATTATAAAATTTAAATATTAAACTGAGAATAGTAGAGATTGTTTACCTGATTTAGCATATGCCTTTTGTAATTTTGCATAGAAAATAACTTCCAGTTCTGCCTTTCTTCTACCTCTTTTTTCAGCCACTTCCAAGAAATTACTCTTCTACAAATGCCATTTCTTTAGTTTCTAAATCAAAGGGAAAAATTTTTTAAGAACAAGCTTGTTTTTCTATTTCTTTCCTCTGTGCTTTCTTTATTCTACCTGTGCCTTTCTTGTATACGATTAAAATGTGGTCACGTCAAGTTCTGTCAATCACAAAATGGTGCTAATTGATGTAGCAAATTAGTGCCACTTTGTATCTTTCACATTACTGTTCATGCTGTTAACAGATAATTCTGTCAATTAGTTGATTTGTGCCATAATTACTTAATTCTCATATTTTAGTTTCTAATATCAAATAATGTGTTAGGGGTACATGAGTAATTTCACGCTAGGTGATGTCAGCAATTGAGCCCCTTATTCTGTCAAGGGAGGTCAGTGTAATTTCCCAAACCTCATGGGAGGTTAGTGAAATTGTTAGAAATCTCAGGGGATGTTTTTGAAATTATCCCGAAAAATTTTCTAATATCCTTTCCAGAATAATCTAGCTGATCCCATGTAGCATAATATTTTTTATCTAGACTTGGATAATTTATTTCAAGTTAGGTGAAATTCAGATTAATTCGATAATTGAGATGATAATGTAGCTTCAAGGCACAATAGCAAGTATTATAATTTGAGGAGCTCTATTTAGTATTTATAGTTAAAGCAATAAAACAAGTGCATATTGGAATGGGTCCAATCACATCCTTGTAAAGACAATAACACCAGTGCAAAATATTCAATTAAATCCAAACAAGAAAGCCAAGTGGTTGGCTAAAACATGCGTGTGCTTTTCTAATTGGCCCATGTAATAGCTAAAAACAAATTATAAAATAATAATATACAAACAAGAAAAAGAAATTATAAAAAGAAAAAGAAATAAAAAATAAAAATTCGTGTGCTTTTCTAATTGGCCCATGTAATAGCTAAAAACAAATAATAAAACTATTATAATATGCAAAACAAGAAAAGAAAAAAGAAATAAAAGAAATAAAAACAAAAGCGTAATAGTATTACAACTAAGAAAAGCGTGTTAAAAAAATAGAAGTGTATAAAAGTCAGCGGCAAACCAAACCATAAGGCTTCACATGGAGTCTTTCCTCTACGTCAAAAGTCTTCTTTACATAACATACACTCGTTCAAATCTGCTCATCAATATCTCCAATAATTGAAATCTTTACTCCTGTTTCATCATCCAACCATCATACCTGCAATCTTTCTGGCTTTGAAGTTGTTGTGAAGATTTAGCAGTGGAATAACAAAAAACAGAACAGTCATGAATGGAAAGGAGATTCTTCATAAGATGAAGGTCAGACAGTTATTCAGTTCATGCATTCATTTGACTTCTTGACTAAAATTCTTTCTTGATTTTGCTATCCCAGATGTCCTTTCCGGGATATGTTTTGCTTTTGTTAAGTTGCTGATCGCATGTTTATAATGGCCATGATCGTTTGTCATTTTAACTGTTTGTTATATCTGATTTTGTATGAGAAGTGTTAATGGATGTAGGCTTGGATTATTGACTGATTTTGTAATGGAGGGGGATGACGAAGTTGTGGGATTTTTGCTAAAGTTCCAATCGATCTTGAAAAGTCAAGATTTGTTGGAGAAGAGAGGCATGGATTTTGTTCAATTCGTTCATACCAGAAACTTGGATACAAGATTATGCAAGTTTCGGACTTGGGAGTGAGGGATCAAGTTGTGGTTAGTTCTATACTTCGAATTTGTTTGGAGAGGTAGAGGTATTGGTTATGTCAACCCTTTTAATGGAGACTTCAGGCCAGGTCCCTGTGGATTTCTTTATATTCTGTAAATTTGCCTGAATCTCTGGGTTTTACAAGTACCTTTTCCTCTTGAATTCGGACATGAGGGCAGTGTTACTTTCCCCCTGTTAGTGTAAGAGAATAGAGATTGTGGCATCACTTTTTGAAATAGAAGTCGAACCATCTAGATGCCAATTTTGCTTTGCAAGAAGTAGCTGCACATGAAAGAGAATCCGTAGTTTTCATTCTGAAATCTGTCACACACACACATTCAGATACAAAATGATTATGCCAGTAAATGGTGTTTGTGATCTTGGTTTGAAGCATTGACTTGTGATGTGAATTGTCGACCACAGACTGGTAGAGAGTTGGTATGAGAAAATGAACCACCTGTCCTGCTTTGTTGCCTGTGTGCTGATACTGAAATGAGTGATGTTAACCAAGAGCTTCGACTTGTTGGGAGGTATAATGTGAGAACTGAATTACACCCCAACCAAGTTCACTATTCTACATTTTTTGTGTATGTATGTATGTGTGTGTGTGTGTGTGTGTGTTGAATTTAGGTAGAAGAATCAGCTTTGATTGTAGGATCTACAAATTGACAATAATAATTGGGAAAAGGGAAATGAAAATTTGACGAGAATAACAGGGGGAATGAAAATGAATACTCTAAACTTAAAACTTCCCTGCTGCATTAACTTGCTACCTGTCTCTAATCCTAGTATGGATCCAAACTTGGGAATTGTGTTTCTTTGACTCCTGGTCGGCACTAGTGACATGAGATACGTACTAACTTCTAGTTTGGAAGTTAATGCACCTGCAATTCTTTATTGAGATTATCTAAATTCATTGGGAAGTTAAGAGTACCGCTTGGAAGACAAAACTGTGGTCAGAATAAGCAAGTAGACAACCATAATTCCCTTCAGGATGAAGTGAGGATGCCAGAGACGTCATAACTAGACTTGAGCATTAAGCACCAAGCTGAGGATAGAGATTTGGTTTCCTCTTGTGCATTCTGGATTATACTTCATATTCAAATATAAGGTATGCTATACCTTAATCTTAACCTAATTTAGACTTCTACTTTCTGTAAAAAGTGGTAGCATGAAAAGTTTGCTAATAGTCTTGGACATAGTCGCCAGAATTATACGCTTACGATTGTACAAATTTACGATCCAAGCTTACGAACTTGATCCTCATGCTAGTTTGATTGCTATGCTGTGCCTTGAACTTATGCAGTATTATAGTACACAACATTCAAGTTTCAACATGCTGGGTTATCATTGCATTTTCTAAAACTCTTTGCATATGTTGTTTTGAAAACAAGTAAAAGTTTTACATTTTCATTTTCAGATATTATGATCCTACCCTTGATTCAATCTCATGACTTCAAAACTGTCCAGCACAGCATCCTATATTTTAGCAGCATTGGTCACAAAGAAGTTACAAATTGTCCATGGATCATTACTTGTTTACAATACATACAAATTGTGCATACTTGCTTTAGCATAAATTGACGATTAGTGTGGTAGCTTTGCTAGTGGAGATCGATAAAAGTGTCTTGTTTCATAGGGTGTTTGTGTTTACATTCTTCTGAAAAGAGGAAGTATCTACTATTAATGCCAATAAACTTTTTTATGCTTTTTTTTTTAAAGTGTAAGTGAAAGGGCTCGAATTCTGAATCACTCACTTACACTCTCTACTCCCGAACAACCTAACCCACTTCTCCCTCAAATCAAATCAACTATTGTTTCAATATTAGGTCCAACAAACACCATTATATGCTGTTGATTGTATGTCAAATATTTCATCTATTAGCCTGATTACCTTAAGGTATTGCATTCTTCAGTTGGTGCGTTCGTGTATAATATAATGACAATGAATGCTTAATATGCGCAATGATATTAAATATCTCATGCATTTTGGTACAAATAGTAGACTTAAACTTCAATTTTCGTTCTATACTCCTATTAATGAATTTGCTTTCCTTTTAAATGTTTCTTGAAGGAAAAAGCATGCTTTGCCGCACCACCATCACCTGATGCAGGGATAGGGAAAAGCAAAATACCAAAACACGTCACTCATGGCTATTACCTGTTGAAGGGAAAATCGAATCGTCCCATGGAAGATTATTTGGTTTCTGAGCTCAGGCGGTTAGACAAAAATGAGTTGGGACTATTTGCAATATTTGATGGGCATATGGGAAATGATGTTGCAAAATACTTGCAATCCCACCTATTTGACAATATTTTGAAGGAGGTATGTCTTTATTTAACACTTGACATGCATGGTTAAAGAACACTTGACTTCTCACTTCTCAATATTGCAAATTTCACTGAATTTCGTACATCATTATCTGTTTTAAGTTTGTCTTTCTCCTCACTCATAATTTATTTTCCTACAACTGCAGCATGACTTCTGGACTAATACAGAAGATGCAATTAGAAGAGCCTATCACAGAACCGATAACAATATATTAGAACAGTCAAAGAAATTGGGGAGAGGTGGTTCAACTGCAGTGACTGCGATCCTTATTAATTGTGAGAAGCTTGTAGTAGCAAATGTTGGAGACTCTCGGGCCGTAATATGCAAGAAAGGACTTGCCAATCAACTATCGGTTGATCATGAGCCAAGCAAGGAAAAGAATATCATTGAGAGCAAGGGTGGCTTTGTATCAAATATTCCTGGTAAACTATTGTAGTATTCACTTGTTTTGGGGGGATTTTAGCATTCATACACACACATGATGGCGTAATAACTAGTTGAAAATGTGTCTAGCGCACATCTTATGATGAGGTGGAGAGGCTCTGAAAAGTGGTAGATCATACTCATAGCTTGAGTAAATGATAATTGGAATCACCTCTTTATGTACTAGTGTCTAAAGATTCATACCTTGGATTAAGTTAGGTTTGTAATTTTTCCTGCAGCCCTCCACATGAAAGCTCAAATAATATAGAGTACATTTGACATTTTTCAGCCTTTTTGTCTTTTCAAGTTTGATAATCTTGGATTTCCGCAGGTGACGTTCCTCGAGTTGATGGACAGTTGGCAGTGGCTAGGGCTTTTGGAGACAAAAGCTTGAAGCAACATCTTAGCTCTGAACCAGATATAAAAGTAGAGATAATTGACGATGATGTTGAATTTGCTATTTTGGCAAGTGATGGATTATGGAAGGTAGCTTCTTTTTCAAACTTGTGTGGCTTTCATAAAGCACTGCACTTTAGAATGAAATTAATACATTATTCCTATTCATGTCGGACACAGCTAGACAAAGATGCTTCAATTTGTTATATAAATCACCGTAGCCTAAGCACTTGCTTTTGCTTGATTTCCTTCTAGGTAATGTCAAATCAAGAAGCTGTTGATTTGATCAAGGACATAAAGGATCCGAATTCGGCAGCAAAACGTCTAACTGAGGAGGCCCTAGCTAGGAAAAGTAGAGATGATATCTCTTGCATAGTTGTGAGGTTTCAATGATTTCTATTTCCTAAACAAAGTGATGACTTAAAAGAGGTGAAAGTGTAATGTGTAAAGCAAAACGCAAGTGTTCCATTCAAAACACTAATGTTTATAGATAATAATAAAACACCCCTTAAAACTATTCCATGGACTATGTTTTTTTTTCTTGTGGTTTTCTTTTTGTTTCATTGTTGTATCTCATCCCTCCCGAAGATCAATACAGATATTCCAGTATATCATGTTGCTTTGTGGTAAGTAATCAGCAGGCAACACTTTAATTTCTTTCACCCCAACAGGTTGAAAGGAGAGCTATAAGCTCACTCTGTTAATTGTTCTTGATGCAGTTTCTTGAGCTGAACAAGAATGCTTGGTGGCTCCAGAGATTGGTTACAACAACTGACTATATTTCCCCTGGAATGGACTAATCGATTGAAGAAAGCTTTCCCTGTTTACTGTCATCAGAGTACAAATGGTAAATACAGAAAATTTTGCCAGGGTAAATAACCCAACAAGCAGCTATGCATATGTATTTAATAAGGCCCAAATTTCGCACGACAGGCTTACCTAGGTGCCATTTTGTCAGCTTAAATGTTTCACATCCAACAGGAACATGTTCCCAAAACGAAAGCCTGTGAAGGAGTAGGCCAACCAAAGTTATTATCCTGAGAGACAGACCGTTGCAATTGGCAGTCTAATTGCAGTTGATGTGGTCCAATCTATGTCATTAATTTCAAAAAAAAAATTATTGTTTTTTTTAAAATAAATTTGAGACATCCAAATCATTCTACATCAGCTGCAACCCAACTTGGATTTCTAATTCTTGCTATAGTTCACCTCAAATTTGATACTACAATCCGTATCTTTATTAAAACAAGAGGTAACAAAAAAATTGGTGATCTACACAGTGCTGCTTTTTGTAGTATTGCATAGAGGATGAACTGCCATAACCATAAATAGATTAAAGTGGACATTATCATTTTTACGCTGTCGGTTTGTCCAAAAAATATCTGCTCAAAGTAGTGTTGCAGTTTCAGTGTATGCGCTGAATACATGCAACATTATCTCATCTTGAATTTTGAACATCAAATTTTACAATGTAACATGTGTGTAAACCTGCTAATTTATAAATTATCAGTGTATAAAAAATTGGGATAATTTCAGAAACCTTCCTTGAGGTTTTTAACAATTTCACTCACCTCCCTTTAGATTTGAATAATTGCACTAACCTCCCTTCATGTAGTAAAATGACTATAATATCCTTCATTTAAAAATAATACCAAAAAAAAAACCCTACAACTATAATTAGTTTTTCATTCCAAAGCAACGACTACCACGTAAAATAAATTTTTATTCTTTCTTTTCTTTTCGACTCTCTCTCCTACCTTTTTTCTCCTACATCTCATAATCCATTATTTTTCCACAATTGCCATCTACACAATTATCTAATACATCTCGAATTCTCATTATTATGGAAATAGATCCTCTCTTTCTTTTTTTTTTTGTTTTCCTTTTTCTGTAAGGATTATTGAATTGAAATTGCCAAATGACAAGTTACCAAATTAGATTTGTTGTCAAACTAAATGAAGGTGAAAAGGATAGCGGTGATACAGAGTACTGACGAGAAAATAAAAGTGATAACTAAAAAGGGAAAATAAATTGAGGAAGATCACGTTATTATACCAATTGGGTAAAAAATAATTTTGGAATATAAAAACTGCAAGTAGATTTGCCTAAAGACATGGGATGTGGTCTCTAGTGTTGTTTTTTGTTGTTCCGCGTTGGTATTCTTGGTGAGTGAGATTATTTTAGCATCAACAATATTGCAGCCATATAGATTGAGTTTGGAAAATGACATTAGTCAATTCAAACACTGAATTTAGGTAGAAAAAAAGGGCTAAAGATTAGGTTGAATGCAAACTTTTAATTGTCATAGTTGATTTGCATAGGAAGCTTCGACGCAGCAATAGTAAGCTGTCAAAATTGTGAGAATATGAAGATTAAGTTGAAGTGGTTTATTGAGTTCATTAGGATGGTAATTATATCGTTTTCAATAGTAGCAATGTAGAAGAAGTTTATGAGTGAGTTTTTCACCCTTCTAAGTAATGAAGGGGTATTTTAGGATTTTTTAGGACAAATTTAGCATACTGGGTCTATATTGTTACTGAAATACTAATTATATGGAAGGTAAATATAATTTTTTAAAATAGAGGGGAGCTTCCTAAAATTGTCAGAAACCTTAGGAGAGGTTTCTGAAATTATCCCTATAAGATTTATCCCAACCGTGATTAGATTTAAGTGGGCAATATTGTCCAGTTTCCTTGAGTTAATGAATGATTGGAAAAGTTAAAAGAGGAAAAGAAAGGCTTTCTAAGAATGCCATGCACAATTCCACTTGGCATGACTGCTACGTGGCATGCAATCTTGCTTCCATAACGTTGCCATGGGACCCAGAGGTGGGACGGTTGTCAGTGCAATCCTTCCGGAAGCTTGTATGCATTTTGTACACTGTGTAACATTATTTGTACATGATCTAACACTAAAATAATAGCGAGTAACACTAGAATAATATTTTGTGAATCCCACACATGTTAAAATCTGGACCTTACAAATTTTATTGGCCAAATCTTGGCCATTAACTTCTCCGTTGCGATGTGGGACTGCCAGTAGCAGCTGCTGCCTATGCACGCGTCAACTTTTGATGGGCAGCCCCTGAAACCAATTCAAGGCCATCATCTGCATTGAACGCCAACCAACTCCGCCGTGAAGCCTCTCACTTGAGCCAAAACTTGATTACATCACTCGAGGAAAGAAATGGACTTAACTTTATCACGGAGAACCTGTCCGATTTAGCAACCAATCTCATCCAATGTTCAACAAACCCTCATCATGAATTGACATGTATAACAACAAATTCTTTTTTTTTTTTCATTTTATCTTCAAGCACCTGAAAATTAGCCCATATGATGCTGCTATTAAAAAGGCAAATTCAGAATTGGGAAGACGTTACCATTTAATTTTATAAAGTTTATAGAATAAATGTGTGCCAATAGTCTCTTGGACTGTTGGTCATCAATCTTTAACTCTCACCTTATCATTTAATTATGACTGTCACTTTTAAATTGTTACCTTCGACGGGTTCTCCGTTGGTTAGGCTCTCCCTCCTCCTCCCCTAGAGTAGGTTAGAATAAGTTATATTAATACTATCGTTACAAAAAATATATATAGGATAAATGTGTCCTTTGTTTCAAACCGTACGAGCTTCTTTGAAGATACAAACATTACACTTCTATCTTTTTCCCTTATAACCAGATTTTAGTCAATTAGTCATGTACTGATGTAGCTTAATTATTATGTTTGTTAAAATTGAAGTAATCAATCTGTCAAACCCCCCCCCCCTCTCTTTAAGTTGCTTGAAAAAGCATATATTTTTACAGTTGGGATGTCTACTCTAGGACACTAATGTAAATTTCAAGACAAATATTGTACCTAATTAACCAAATCAAAACCATGTCAGAAATTTATGATAACTATCAATAGTTCAAGAACTTTGGTTAAGACCTAAATTCACTGCTACTGGACTCATTTTCACTCGGTATCACTTGGGATCAAGAGATGACAAATCATTTTTGACCCTTAGATTTCATCCTACAATAAGATATTCTCCTAATATTAAGCATAAAAATCTTGGGTTCCGTTGAGATCCTTCAAAAAAAAAAACAAAGAAAACAAAAACTATATGGTATCTTGATCGATCTTCACAATAAAGACCATTCTAACCTATATACACAACACAATTCATCGAATTACATCACCTCCATGAGAAGCAAAGAAAAAGTACAAAAGCTAGACTGTGGACTGTAGACATGACTTTTTCCCTTGAAGCACAACAAGAAGGACTCTTGCATGCGATTGTGTTATCATGTCGAGCTGCCACATATCTCACTTTGCATGCCAATTCCTAATACTATGCAGCCACGCATCACTCAGCCCATCCCTCACACCATCCTCGTCATTCTTTCCCCCCCTCTTTCTCTCCCTTAACTTTCTCCTTAAATTATGAGTATATAAACCCTTTCTTCAATCTTCATGTCTTTGTACATCCCCCCGCCCCCTCCCTTTCTCATATCTTTTCTCCCTTCTCAACACTTCTTTTTCATGTCCCCCTTTCTCTAGAGAGAAACTAAAAATCTTTCACAGTTTTCATCATCCCCATGTCTTTATCAACATTTTCATCATCATCAGATATGACTAGCGTTTTTGCTGATCAGCAGCAGCAACACAAGTTTCACCAGCTCAGCTACCTCAACAAGAAGAGCCCTAGGGAGATTGAGATCCCACCAAGAAAGCTTCTCAGCCGCCGTGCTGCCGCCTCCGGGGCCATGCATCTTGATAGCGGTGACATGTTTATGGATTCTCCCAAAGCTGAAGAAGCCCTTCTTCAGAAATTCTTGCCTTACAACAACATTGATGATGATGATGCTGATCCTTACTCATCTGATCATTTCAGAATGTACGAATTCAAGGTCAGGAAGTGCACTCGCAGCCGTAGTCATGACTGGACAGACTGCCCTTTTGCTCATCCGGGCGAAAAGGCCCGGAGGAGGGATCCCCGAAGGTATCACTATTCTGGAACTGTTTGCTCTGAATTTCGCCGTGGAAATTGCAGCCGCGGCGACAACTGTGAGTATGCTCATGGTGTTTTTGAGTGTTGGTTACACCCTTCTCGCTATCGGACCGAGGCATGCAAAGATGGGAAGAATTGCAAGCGAAAGGTCTGTTTTTTCGCTCATTCTCCTCGCCAGCTACGTGTTTTGCCTGCCAATTGTCACGAAACCGCTTCATCTCCAGTGAATTCTCCTGTTGAAAAGCAGCAGCAGCACCACAGGAATGTGAACCATTGCTGTATGTATTGCCATTCTGTTGCTGCTTCACCTACCTCTACTCTGATGGGGATGTCCCATTTGTCTCCGCCGCTGTCTCCACCGCTTTCGCCGCCGATCTCACCGGCGAAAGCGGCCCAGTTTTCTCCTGTTTCGAGGTACAAGGATCATTTTGCAAGCGTTGAGCCATGCGGGATGGCTCAGTTTAGTTCTGGTGGGATGGGTGGGTTGAGTTACAAAGATGCATTAACAGAGTTGATGA